ATGGACAATATTTCGCATTATACCACTGTGTGAGAGTATTAAGTATTACACTGTTATGTTCATATTGTATTGCATAATCACATTCTGAAAAATATGGAGGATCCTTTTTGTTATTTGTTTGTCAATTGTTAAACTGCCCCATAGTTGTTCGGACCAGTGGTCCGCATTGTCAGCCGAGGTGTGGTGACGCCATTTGCCGGCCAGCTAGGGCAGTTGCACCCTGACCGGCATCGAGAGAGGATCGCTTGTAACCTTGTGAATAAATCCAACTAGAACTCCCCGTTTGCTTGACCTTGACTACTTCGTTATAAATTTTGACGCCATCTCATTATAAATGGACATTCCATCAGATTACTTCGACCGATTTGCAGATATTACACCGACAGATGACCAAAATATTTAGTCATCTTAAATTATCCAGGACAATCAGACACATAATATCAACAGTGTCATATATTTAATCCAACAAGGTAGGTAGCATAGAAACATCAAGATGAAGGACTTAGTATGATTATGGGTGTCTTACGGTATTCATAAGAACATAAGAAAATAAGGAGTCTGCAATAGGCCGGTTGGCCTGTGCATGGCAGCTCCTGTCGAGAGTTTCTACCACTCTCTATCATCCATGAATCTATCTAGCCTCCTTTTAAAACTGTACAGCGTTCCAGCACTTACTACAAAGTGCTAAGATTGTTCCACTCGTCCACCAGCCCTATTTGTGAACCTAAACCTAAACTTATCCAACTTAAATCCGTTGCTACGAGTCCTATCCTGCTCGGATATTATAAGAACTTTATCTATATCGCCTTTATTGATTCCTTTCACCCACTTAAATACTTCTATCATATCTCCCCGCATTCTTCGTCTTTCTAGGGAATGCAAGTTTAGTTTCTTTAACCTATCTTAATATGGAAGGTTTCTAAGTCCCGGAATCATTTTTGTCATTCTTCGCTGCACCGACTCCAGTGAATTGATATCCATTCTATAATAGGGGCACCAGAACTGAAGCATAATCGAGGAGCGGCCTGACTAGCCCAAGATATAGTTACAATAAGACCTCTGCACTCTTATTACTTACACTTCTAGACATAAAAACCAATACTCTGTTTGCCTTATTTTGAACATTAACGCACTGTTTTCTAGTCCGTAGGTCCGGGCTTACAAGTACCCCTACGCCTTCTCGTAGTAGGGCATTCCGTTTTCGATTATATTACCATGTATATATTGTAAAATTATCTGTGTTATAAATATTTGCCCAATTGACTCACATATTTTTATAAATTGTCTGTACAGACACACTTTGTGTAACTGCTATGAAGCGTGTCTCAAGTTTTGTTTCAATGATATTCCTTTTTATGAAACTGATCTGACTGATACTTAATGTTCCGAGTTTTGAACGCCGTTCAAAATGAACAGAAAAATAGTGGGAATAAATCATCATCATCATCATCATCATCATCATCGTCGTCGTCGTCGTCGTCGTCGTCGTCGTCGTCGTCATCATCATCATCATCATCATCATCATCATCATCATCATTATTATTATTATTATTATTATTATTATTATTATTATTATTATTATTATTATTTACGTTATCAGATAATAACTGCTACATTTTTCTAGTCAGGAAGAGAACGTGATGTCTTACAGAGGCCCCATGTGCACATTTAACAATATTTCACACACAGGCAGGAACTATAAATGCCTATTGTCATCATCACCATAAACACGTAAGATAAGGTGAGCATTAGCCAAGGTCGCCACTAAAGGGAGAGTTTGTTGTTAATTATAGGAACATACAACCATTATTCAATAGAGATATGCGTTACAGCTGTACCACAAGTATGGTACAGGACAAGTAAGTTTGTAAGGTTGTTTCGCGTTTATCTCAACTACAGGATGGGGTGGAGGGGGGATATGACGTACTGAGCGTAAATTTGTGGGCAATTCATGCTGAGTGTGTGTGTGTGTGTGTGTGTGTGAAAATGACCCGGAAATCAATGTACTCGTCGAAGATAAATGTTAGAATTCCAGCCGAGGTGTATAAAGCAGAAGGACCTCTGCTTACCAGCCTTCCCTACGCTCTCTTGGAGAATATATGGGTAAAAGAGGAAATCCCCCAAGCTCTTAAAGACGCTTCCATTGTCAATATGTATAAGAATAAGGGAGACTGGTCAGACTGTGGCTACTACCGGTGGATCTCTCTGCTGTACGTAGCTGGCAAGATTATCGGCCTAGTCCTCCTAAATAGACTTCTTCCTGAGGCGGAAAACTTTCTCCCAGAATCTCACTGTGGCTTTAGACCTTCACGTGGCACAACTGACATAATCTTTGCTGCCCGCCAGATACAGGAAAAGTGCAGAGAACAGTGTCGTGACCTGTACATGGCCTTCATCGACCTAACCAAGGCCTTTGACTCTGTCAACAGGAAAGCCCTCTCGTGGACCCTCAGCCGTTTTGGCTGTCCACTAAAATTCATCGTCATTGTGAGGCAACTCCACGATGGCATGAACAGCAGTGTCCTGCACAATGGCACCCAGTCTGAGTTCTTCCCCATCCAAACGGGGTAAAACAAGGATGTGTACTGGCACCAACTCTCCTTTCCATTTCCTTGGTTGCCTTCCTTACTTGTGCCAGTGTCAATTTCGCCGGCGGGGTGGAATCCACTACTGGATGAAGGGTCTTTTCAACATAAAACGACTCCAGGCAAGAACAAAGGTGTCGGCAGCTTCTATTACTGAACTTCAGTAAGCAGACTACCTCATCCTTGTCGCTCACACTGAACGCGACCTACAGGAGATCCTGAACACCTATGCAGCTGTGTATGCACACTTCGGCCTTGAGGTGAATGTACGTAAGACTCAGATTCTCTTTCAGCCTGCTGCTGGTTCAGCCACACCTCCACCATCCATCCAGCTTAACAGCATTACCCTCTCTAATGTTACTCACTTTCAGTATCTCAGCTCCGACCTGTCCATCACCGATAAAGAGATTCAACATTGGATCAGTTGTGCATCTCAAGCTCTTGGCAGACTCCGTACCCGTGTCTTCACCTGAAGGGAGCTCAAATTATCGAGCAATGGTTCTCCCCACCTGCTATATGGCAGCGAGACAGGGGCACCAACGTAGTCTACGTTCCATCCTCCGAATTCGCTGGGAAGACAAGAGTAGAAATGCCGGTATTCTCGGTGCCACCAACTGTAGGAACATCGAGACTACCATTATCCATGACCAACTATGTTGGACTGGCCATGCTA